GATTGCTAAGAGTGTTCATTGACGTTTCCAATGTAGTTTTGATGGTGTTTTCAAGCCGATTTAATTTCTGAGTCTTGGGAAAATTGTAAAACTTAATACATAGTTTTGAACAAAGCTGTCATGAACTAGGACAAAAATAAAAAAGAATTTTTTGAAAGAGCATGAAAAATGTTCGGCAATTCAGAATTTTTAAAACCAACACTACGAAAGTTTTTGAACATAGAATGTGTTTACACTGGTGGGCGTTGGCCAGATTTGGATTTTTCAGATATAATCCTAAATAGGACCTAGATTATTTAATACTCTAGTAACCTCAAGTCCGTGCTCTGTCACAATGTTTCATTATGATTAATCAAAACTCAAATGGGTAAAATATCAAAGTTGGGGTGTATTTGAAAGAAAGGGAACTTGGAGTGTAGAGCGCACTGCCCACTGGACGATTCTGAAGCCTGGCCAAGTGAGTGGGGTATGGGTTTATTTGATTGAACGTCATTTCCAATTTATATATTGATACATTCAAACCATTGGCATTTGGTATTTCAGATAAGACAGAGATAGGATGCTAATATGTCATTTGTTTTTGTATAATTTCAGGTGTTAATATACCGTACGGTTCAACCAATTATGGAACGGTTAATATTTAGTGCCAGATATTGGTATACCGTACGGATCAGCCATAGCGATGGACCTAGAAGGAAAATAATATTTTCGTTCTTTGCTTTCAGCAAATTGATATCTCTTACTCTTTCCCTCTCCACCCCTCTCATATCCATTTTTTAATGTATCGGTGTACTAGTTTGGACATTTTGCGCCGGCTAGTCACGATTGCGGCATGCTATACGGTCTGGCATGTTTTAACGCTTAGGCTTGGTAGGTCCTCACCTAACACGATGGGTTAGCAGTGGCCACCAGGGTGAGGGCTGATAAATTACAATTAAAATTTAAATGTGTTTACACTTTATGAATTATTGCACAGAACACATAAAAAATTGGGATTCTATATATTCCCGATAATCCTTTTAAGTCACAGAAAATGTTTCGAGACACAGAAAATTTCAAGCATTACACCAAAAACTTGCTTCATCTCAATCTTCAAATCACTATGTTTCGATTTATGCAGCTTCTGGTAAATTCTATGACATCTGTTTCGAAGCAGCTGCTACAGCCTCTGTCTCTGACTTCTTTTGCAAACAAAAATGCCATCGAATCCAGTCTGACTCCGCAAATTAGAGCTAGATTTTAAAGGCTAGAAATGGTGTTCCTACCTAAAAAGAAAAAAAAACAATATTTACCTTTTTTTTTATAAATGTAAAACTGAATTTTGGGATTCATGAATAATCAACTATTTCTCCTTTTTACGCCACACCATTATAGTAATCAAAGCTGTAGTCCGTGCATTATTAACATTTCCAACAGCTCAAATTTCAATAATTTAGGTGATTTTGAATCGGAACTCGGAAGATCAATTTTTTTTTTTTTTTGAATCAACAAGTGGATTTTTATTTGATCTCAAACACACTAGGCATTTGTTTTTGGTTCCAATTCGAAATATGGTTTAGCGCCCTTCATACCCTCCCCCCTCCATTAATAACTTTGATGTAGCTTAGTTCTGCGACAACATTAGGTTGCCAAACTACCACCCCCAACCATCGCTTCAAACTGAAAGGAACGAAACGTGGAATTTCACGGAATATTTATAAACTGTTTCCCTAATTGTTGGTTTCGATTCGCTTAGAGCAGAAAATTTCGTGTTGAATTATTTTCAACTTTCCGAAACGTAACAAAATTCCGCGGTATTATTTAAAACAAAATTCAGCAAAACAAAAATTCAAAAGCAGTTTTTTATGCATCACTGCAGATTGCAAAAAGCTCGCGTCATTCTTCTCCCTTTGCTAATTTTACTTAATACTTATAATAATACGAAAATACTTATTTCGAATTTTTCGAGAATGCATCAAAGTAAATTTAACTTTACATACATTTTCAACATGACCAAAAATATTGGCTCATCAATGAAAAAACCGTCACAGATCTTTTATTATATTACTGTGGGCTCTGCTGTTAAACGATCGCCAAAAAATGGTTGAGTTGATTATACTCAACAATTATCTTCTTTTTTTCGAAATAAATCTCGATTTGCCTAAAATCATTTACATTATGTGTCAGTAAATAACGTAACTGTTCGCTTCACTAACATTGAAAAAAAAATGTAAATTTTGGGACCAAGATTTAAAATAAATTGAAAAATGAAGCTTCTTTTAGCATGAGTACAGAATGCTGATAAAACGATAAGATAAAAACAATCCGTGTCTGGCTGTCCTCAGTTCCTCTAGTTGATTAAATGTTCTTAGAGATAAAAAATACACTGGGAATCAGTGCTGAGATTTGTCATTGTCATTGACAGACTTTTGCGCGATATTGACAAAATTGTTTGTCACATAGTCAATGATAGACTTGATCCTCAAAAAAATCTTTGTCAAAATCTCATTCATTTTTTCGTCAATGACAAAGATTCACCTGGTAACAGAAAGGGTTATTTCTTGCATTCTGAGTCACATTATTGTTATCCAAGCTGTTCAGGACGTAGATGCTTGTTCACTTTAATGGCTCCATGTGAATGTTTTCCTCAAGACATTTAATTTCATTTTAAATTTAGCTAATAAACAAATCAGCACATGTTCGTCACTGACAAAAATGCCACTGACAATTGACATGGTTTGCCTTGACGATGACTGTTAGCTCAAACGAGTGACCAAAGCAGAATTTTGAGTATCACCGTGTATTGTCGAAATTGTGCAGCACTGCTGGGAATAAAAAAAGGAAACTGAAGTTATGTCCTAAAATCTGACAAAGAGTGTCAAAAGCTGATCAAAAATATGTTTATTAATTTTTTTAATTTCAATTTTTATTTTTAAATAAATCACACATCCCGAGTAGAACACTTCTGTCGCAAAAAAAAATTGTCTTTGAATCCCGACCTGATTGAAGATTAAAGATTTCGACAAGATTGATTAATTGAAGAACTGGGCTGAAAGATTCCTTAATAAAGAAACAACAACAACAACAAAATTATAAAACAATTATATATTCGATAGAGTATAGTTCTGCCCAGGATTTCTTATTCAAATGAACAAAACTATGAATCACATACCACACACTTAGAAAGAACTAATTTTAAACGTGAAGGAATCCATCTTTGACATAAAAGATGAGATGTAAACAAACATTTCATGTATTTTTAAGTGCGCCGAGGCTGAAAAGTTCGTTGCTCGACGAAAATCACGTTTGATTAAGCTATATTTCGTGTCTGTTATGACTCAAATTTATGTCAAAATTGACGCTCGTATATGTCACTCTCAGAGCACCTAAATTTACACGAATTTTTCTAAGTTCATGCACTCTCAACTAAATTCTAAGCTACTGTTTCATTTATGGCGGAAAGCCCCATCTAGGCCCAATCTCGAATTATGTCCGATTTAACTAAGCACTATGCCGTATTATTCTCAATTTTAATCTCGGATTTCACATTAATACATCGATTTCGGGGTATTAGAGCAAATCCGAGATTTTCGAAAAGTACGCAGAAAAACAAGAATCTGCGGTGCGATCTTCCAATGTCAGCGTCCTAACAATCGCCGCTTGTCTCAGATACAAATCCAAATCCAATAATCCCATAAGCATCGAGAAATTCTTTAATTTTATTTTAATCACTTTAACACCGATGAATCATTCGTGGCTTGTGCGGGGATGCGATTAGAACTCGCGACATTGGCGTGAAAGATATAAACGTTAACCACTATGCCAATGCCATTCCCTCGGCTCCGATTAATTTACTTATTCAATTTAAAAAGAAAACATTAATTGGTTTATTAAAAATTCTAAAAATAAAACTTATAAAAATTAGAAAAAATTAATTTCTTTTAGGTTCTATTCTATGGAATTCTATGAAGATCTGTGATTTTTCCGTAAGTTAAGAGAGCTCGTCTGGAATATGTTCCGGCCTTTGTCACTCTTGTCGGTTGACATGGTCATGACTAGTTTATGTTGCAATTAGATATTAGCAACTTCCCCGGGGGCTTCTGGAACCTGTTCTGGGGTCATCGCGATGCGATTGTATTCTGCTTAGTTAATATGGTCTTTAATGAATTGTTTATGAAATTATGAAAATTCGTATGTGTCGCACGACTGTTTTCTTTTACAATAAGAGACTGACCTCTTCCTCTGGGCTTCCAGAATCTGTTCCAGGGCTATCGGATGGTTTTTGTCACTCTTGTCAGATGGCATGGTCTCTTATGACATGTCCATTGAATTATGAAAATTTGGATATGATGCATGACTAGTTTATGTTAAAATCAGAGATTGACCTCTCCCTTGAGGGTTCCGAAACCTGTTCCAGGGCCATGGGGTAGCCTTTGTCACTCTTGTTAGTTGACATAGTATCTAATGACATTTTGAAATGTTGAATTATTAGTTTATGTTGCAATCAGAAATTGGTCACTTCCCCGGAGGAATTTGGAACCTGTTCCAGGGTCATCGCATGGCCATTTTCAATCTGCTTAGTTGGAATGGTCTCTAAAGCATAGTCTATGAAAATCTGAAAATTGTGCTATGTCGTACGACTGTTTTCTGTTACAACTTCCCCCGGGCTTGCGGAATCTGTTACAAGGTCATCGGGTGGTCTTTATCGCTTTTGTCATTTGACGTGGTCTGTAATGAAATTTCCATGAAATTCTGAAAATTTGGATATGCTGCATGACTAGTATTTGTTAAAATTAGAGATTGACCACTCCCCGTGGTTTCCGGAACTGAGGACAATGAGCTGTCCATTCCAAAATATAGTACACCATATTGTAGTTCTTATCTAAACCTACAGCTTTGTAGAACATTGTTTCGTTCTATCTTATTGTCTGAGCTTCGCAATAAGCTTCGGTACCCGGGTTAAGGGTCAAAGAAGTTAGAATCTTCTGCGAATTTCAGCCCAAATCCCACCCGAAACTCACCTCCATCTTCACCTCGTTCGGAGTGCACACCTGTCCGTTGGTATGCACGTGCTCTTCCTCCTTTTCAGCAGCTAAATCCTGCTGCCCATTGGACACTTCCTCCGCTGCCGCCGATTGTACCTTAGGATCATCCCCCTGCTCCTCCGGGACGCAGAACTTTCTCGTGCAGGACATAACCTTGCCATCCACCGAGCAGCGGCATGTGTTACAGTCCAGTTTGAATGTGCTTCCTGGTGCACATTGTTGGCCGGCTTCCAAGGCCAGTGCTGGAAAATATAATGCAAATGAATTGATTTAGAATTACAGCAAACTTCAGGCCCATCAAAACTTCTCCGGCTCAAACCATTAATCGCTTATCAACCACAGAAGCAATAGCGCAGCTGGGTCCTCATAATCGCTGGAACCACACGCGTTCAAACGAGCGCGATCGGATGCGCTCCGAAAGCAAAAATGGAAATCTATTTCCTAAAGTGTTTGCATGTGTCCGGAGCGACGCGCGGCGACGGTGATAGATTGGAAGTTTGTTTACAGTCGTCATCAGTTTTACTGAGATTGGACTCGGCTTCCACCACATGGTATCAACATGTGTATGGAAGTCGCTCATCAACAACGCTCGACAACGGCGATAAGGTGATAAGCTACCAACATTAGCATACTACGCTCCACACCCGGCAAGCGAAACATTCGACAAGTCATACGAATGCGATGACCCAAATGAAAAACAAACGGGCTACTCTTATGTGTGAACACATATAGGCGACGGCGGCGGCGGCGGCGTTGAAGAAGCGAAGAAAAAGTGAGAAAATCCAGCAATCGAGGCAACACGAGTCAAGTTCGCCGTCGATTGGAAGCCAGTAATTGGTTCGTGAACTTGACCCTTACCATTCAACTATGGCGGCGGGATGCTTTGGAGCGTTCTGATTCCTTCACCATACTGATGACATCGGTGTAATTGGAATAGAAATTTGCGCATTTCAATGTTTTCAGCGTTTCATTCCCGGCTCTAGCAGTGGCTGAAACTGTTCAGTTCAAGGCAGTTTGCATACTGAAGGCAAATGTTTGGAATTCACTAATGGTGTGGATTTAGAACGATTCTTTTTTTTTTTTATTTTATTTAATCGTCGGTGAGCTTTAGGGTACAATCTTGACCCGACTACCTTGAGCGTAGCTGTGAACGACATAGGTGGATGGATGTTTCGCAACAGCTTTGAATCGGAAGAAATTAGAATCATATGCTCATAAAACATGGAATGGCGATCGCCCGATAGTAGTGTGTGTGCCTATTAACAATGCAACTCCCACTGTCTGGCAGTGGTATTAGGGCTGCAATAATTTCTTATGAAAGCAAGAAACTTGAACCTGGAAGTTAGAAGGTGACAGCTCTGAAACTTTCAATCAAGTAGGGCTTTTTATCTATTTTCCGTCCTACTAAGTACAACCCCCACTTTACTTTCTTTTTTGAACTGGTTTTAACAAAAAATGGAATATTTCTGTCAAAGATGACTTCTAAATTTATTCATCTTTTCATACGTACCGTTCGATTTGATAAAGAGTCACAAATTGTTGAGATATTGTTTTAAATCTGATACTACTCGAGTTCTACGAGTTTCAATTCCGTCCAAACGCATTGAAACGTCATTAGATTTTATTTCGTCTTACGGATAAACGTAGAAAAAGGAGATTCGCTAGGAACGCTTCTTTTGTTTTGACAACAATAAGCTTAAATATTCATAAATGTGCTCTAATAGGATTTATGTTGTAGCTAATGCATCGGAATAATAGGTTTTATTGATTTGTACACGGTGAAATCATTGATATTATTGATATTTTCTGATCGATAGAACGGAAATGGATGGTTACGACGAAGTAGCGCTCTACCCTAGTTGTGCAATACTTGAGTGACGCGAATTTAGTAAGTACATATTAAAATTATCGTCTCAATTTAGATGGATAAATCCTATAGAGGAAAGAAGAACGAAAATGCAAATAAACTTAAATGAGTGTTCCATTTTTGCGTTAGTTGGAATAGACGGCACCGCATGCAACGGAGAGGAATTTCATAATTTTCACTTCATGTACTTTTGAACACTTTTTAAAAACGAAATTGTAAATTTGTAAATTGTAAAATTGTTGTAACTTCACAAGAACGAAAACAAACCAGCAAAACAAAAGCACGTCATTTTCGCAGCGCGGCCTACTTCGATCAAAGCGATCGCCCGATAGTAGTTGAACAAAAGTCATCTACAGAGTCCAATTGATTTTGACAACGTCTCCAGTATCCATACTTTGCTCGTGCTGTTTAATATTTTTCTAAGACTGTCCGGATATGTGTGAAGCTTTGGCCGTCAAGTGTGCGTCTATTGACATTTGTGGAAAGCTATTAGGAACTAAAAAATCGTTTGTCGCTCAAATCGAACAGATACTGTACTGATATCAAATATTAATGCTCGTGAAATAATAAAATCAGGTAACACTTAATCAGTTGGTTATGAAAAAAACAATCCATCACCTGATGGGATTTGAACCTAGAATTCCCGTTCAATACACGGGCAATCGCTATTTATACTAATGCTACTAAAAAACATGAAAAAATTTACTAATAAAGGGTAGGTAGTTAATCAACTCACCCCTTTTTCAATACTCTGGAGTACACATATTTTTATTTTAAATAACGGACATTGCAAAATCAATATTTCAAACGTTGAAACAAATTGTGGGTCCTATACAACAAACTTAAACCCTTGACTAGCACCGCAATGATGAGGTGGCAAAAATAACCACCGCCAAAAGTGACAAGTCGATGGGGTGAAATAAAAGATGGGGCTTATAACATTAAACTCTGAGCTAAAACTAACATATTTAAAGAAATCCGGCAATCGGAGCTTGGTTAATTTTGACAGACAAGAAGTATCATTTTCATAACCGTAGATGAGTTCTGTTCGAAATTTGATCGATCAACAACAGAGGAATTTTAGAACATGGAAAGTAAACCTTCGAACTGAGGACGGGCCCGGCGTACTGGTTTGTCACGCTTAAGGTAACGAGTTCATATCGCATCCCCGGTCGAATGTGTTAAAGGGACCATAAAACAAACAATAAACTTTAGAAGTGACAGTTTATTTTAACTCGGCGATTGGGACAGGCCAAAGCCGGCGCCGGTGGTGTAGTGGTAAGCGAGACTGCTTTATCGTCCCAATGGGTCTGCGTTCAATCCCAGCCGAGGTCAGTGGGATTTTTCTGAGGCAAACAAATCTCTGGTCACGTCTTCCTTCGGAAGGGAAGTAAAGCCGTTGGTCCCGGCCCATGTGTGTTTGAATGGGTGCGATATCCTACGCAGGTGTGGAAGCTATATTCCTGCACATTCGATTGCCGTCAATGGATGGTAATCGATGTCCGTCGGTGATTGGCACTAGATTGCGGAACACTACAACGCTCTGATGAGACAACAAAACCCTACCCCAAGCTCCTCCCCTGATCCTATCCTTCGAAAATGTGCCCTTCTAACCTCGAGTAAGCCGCGAGTAATCGGCCCAACTCCTACTAGACATAGAATTAAGAGAATTTTGTTACACACAGTGAACAATGAATTATCGGCTCCGTAAAGCTAACGCGATTGAGCCTTCCAAATAAACGAACTAGATAGATTGCGGAACAGAAACCGACGTTAAATAAAAGAATGCAGAAGAAGAACGACAGGTCAAAGTAGAAAGCAATTGTTCACGAAATTATGGGATGTACACCCCCCAAATAAAGAATTTAAAAATTTAACAAATATTTAGGAATTTCGAAAAAAATGCAAAGCCGAATTTTAAAAACTGTCTAGAATCATGAAAATTATTCTATGACTTGAAAGGGTAATAAGATCTAATTGGGAAAGTAAAAGATCTATTTTTAATAATATGAAATTTATGCTACTAAAATTGGTTTTAAAAATATTGAGCTGGAAAAAAAAACATTGAGATTTAAAAAAAAATATGTTAAAGGTTAATTGAAAAAAAAACTAAGTCGCCGGAAAATTAATTATTTTGGACCTTGAAAAGTACTCCAAGATTTTGGACTTGGAAGATCATTCAGAAAAAAAGATCCAGAGAAATTCGATGGAATAATTCCAAGAGTATTCTGCAGAGCACTTGAAAGGAATTCTTGAAAGCATTCTTAAGGAACTCCCAAGAGAATTTCAAGATAATAATGCTTCATTTCCAAATGGGATTTGCGAGGATATGTTCAGGTGAATTCTAAGACAGAATATAGGATACAATTAGGATAAGGAAGAAGAACTGAAAACTTAAAACTGAAAACTGAAAACAACTCAAATGAAATTCTGAGGATAAATCTAACCAAATTTGAATGGCAATTCTTTCAGGATTTTGGCCACATTCCTAGAAAAATGCAGAAGATATCCAAAGGAATCTTGGCGTAATTACCATTATTATAATAAGAATTTCAAGACGTTCCCTCGGCTGTTGACAAAAGCAGGCCACTCTCGATGTGTGCCACGCGATCGTCTGATTTCTTGGCAGCAACCATTGTATGGTCCTCCTCATTGTTCTTCATCAGCAGTTCTTCCGGTCGATGCGTCGTCGACTTTGGAAAGCAACCGTTTCGTGATGAGTGTGTGAGTGTTGACCACGTTTTGCGTCCATTGCTGCAATGGAAGCGCTCTGCCCCCCCGATGGCGTAACTGCCATATAAGGAAACCACTGAAAGCGGCTCCAGTTCTGATGGAGGAGGCTTTTTGGATAGCGGAAGATATAGTGTTTATTGTGTAGTAGCTTTTGACTATACTTTTAAGATGTATTGTATAGTGACCAAGAATCCTCTGTAAAGGTAAATTCGGTTGAGCCTTATCAAATAAATTAATGAACAAAAAAAAACAATTTCAAGTGAGTTTAAAACTGAAGATGGATGCAAAGTAAGTCTAAGTAGCATTTAAATGTGTGGCTATATTGTAATAGGAGATGAGTAGTAATTTTGAGTATAATTTCTAGGTAGTTTTAACTCATAACTTCTGAAAAGAGATTGATTGATAAAGAGATTTCCAAAAGAAGGTTAGGTTAGGTTTTCTTTGAAGTAATGAAATTGGGTTGTTAGCGAAATGCTTAAATAAAACAACAAAAAGGGGTTATCTTCCATTTAATTCCACTTAATTAATGTTGGTATCCATGACAGATACGTATTTCGACAACAATGTGCAATCTTCATCAGTGTCATTCCAACTAAAGAACTTATCTCAAATCTAAACCCTTTAGTACTCATCCTTAGGTAAAAAAGTCAAGAGTACAGGTATAAAAATGAAACTACAATGTGTTGAATCGGAACCTACCTAACTAATAAAAACCAAAAACCAAAAAGGAGAAAAATTTATACAACTCTCTAATAAGGAAAATCTCAAAGGCTTGGTAGCCTTCATAATGAAGTAATGAAATTGGGTTGTTAGCGGAATGCTTAAATAAAACAGCCAAAAATGGGATCTTTCATTTAATTCCACTTAATTCCCACTACAGAACTTATCAAAATCTACATGTGATCTTGACTAGGGATGAGTACTTAATGGGGTTAGATTTTGATAAGTTCTTTTGTGGGAATGACACTGATGAAGACTGCACATTGTAGTCGAAATACGTATCTGTCATGGATACCAAAATTTATTAAGTGGAATTAATTGGAAGATAACCCTTTTTTGCTGTTTTATAGGTTTTCTTTATTAGGGAGGCTTTCAGTCTGGGGTTGGTTAACCTCCGATTTTCAGAAGATGATTGAGATAAATTTAAACGAAATTTTATAAAAATTTGAACGTAAAGTTTATAAAAAAAACAAAGGGAAGTTATAAATTAATTGTGATAATAATTTCAAACAATTTTTCTGAGTATTACAAAACAATAATAATGAAAAAGCAAAACTCCAAAGCCATCCAAAACAATAACTGTAATTGAATTCTAATAAAAAATCGAATGGCATTTGAATCTGAGGAAAGATCCAAAAGAATTCCATGGCGAATTTCAGATCTGAGGATAGTTTCAAGAGAATATCAATAAAGATCTGATATCACTAGGGTATTTTGAGGTGAATATCTGAGGATCTTTTGAATGAATTCGAAACGCTGATGAGAATTCCTAAAAAAAAAGAATACAGAATTTAAAAAAAAAATCTCAAAAAAACCATCCAAACATTCCAATCGAAATTTTGGAAAACTACTTAGGTGAGTTTATACTAAACTTACAGGAGGATTCCTTGATTATTCTGAGCATAGTTTTGAAGCAATTTTGCGGATAATTCCACAGTTTTTCAGAAAGGTATATTAAGCAAGATCTGAGGAATATTCCAGGAAGGCCAAACAATTAGAAGAAAACAAGAAGAATTTCTTGTGTATTTTGAAGAGCATTCGTAATGGAAAAAAAATTAAAAGAAGCTCCCAAGATTATTCTTGGGAAATTTTTACAAGAGCTCTGAGATAATTGTGAGTTTCATCGAAATTATGAAGGTTATTAGAAAAAGAAAGAAGTCAATATTCTGGACAAATCAAATTTTGAGGCTTTGAATTTTTATCGACATATAAGATTTGAAATTGGCACATTTTTCCATACTCTAGACATGGATCAAAAATTTAACAGGAGGATAAATTTTCACGATTCAGAAACATCTTCCTTGCCTTGATTTGTTTTCCGTCTATCTTGTTTTCCGTGCTGAGCACCAATGCTGCCGACGCCAGGAAGGCAGCTCCCACACCTGGACCCTACCTATCGACTCATCAACTCATGAACCGGGGACCAACGGCTTTACTTCCCTTCTGAAGGAAGGCGTGATCAGAGATGTTATGCCTCAGAACAGCCCGGCGGCGCCGATTGAGATTGCACCCAGGCCTGCTGGGGTGAGAGGCAATCATGCTTACCACTACACCACCGGCACCGCTTATTCAGAAATATGAAAAAGATTCGAAAATGTTTAGAGATTGCAAACTTACGGGATTGTGTATTTAAGGTAAGGATTTAAGAAATTTTAAGGATTCTGATACATTGCTTTTTGTGTCAGAATTCTTGATGTCAGACAATTCACACTCTAGGACATTGATCATATTTTTCGAGAAAACAGACTTGGAAAAAAACAATTCCGGGCTAACCTTAAATTCCGAATCCCAGATATTAATAAAATTCAAGAAAAACTAGTCTAATTTGAAACATGGCACACGATTTAATCTTTTATAAACAGTGAGTAGTTTTCATGGATTGCTAAAGGTAGAGCAAACCCTCACTACGACACTGTCCAGCGTCTTGAATTTTAGATCCTGGTTTTAGAAAACAACAATTTCAGGATCTCAGATGAACTTTTTTGTCCATTATTCTACACTTGGCAAAAATTTTAGACTCTGGGTTGCCGATAAATTCTTCGAAGACTCCACAGTGATAAATACAATATTTATGGTTCTAAATCGTTAGTTTGAATGTAGGCCCAAAGGCCCAAAGATAGGCCCAAATGTTTACTTAACAATGTGTTACACCCCTCAGGATGAGAGATGTTAAATTGAAAGTTACCTAGTGAGTAAATAAAATTTCAAAAATGGTTTTCTCTGAGACATCACTACAAACCATTTTTGAGATTTATATTTACTCACTAAGGTCAATTTCACCTTAAAGAAAGATAAGTCATTGATCGAGTTGGTTCACAAAGGATAAAGACATGTTTAACTAAGTTACACAATGCTCGATAGTTTTCCCAATATTTGTAAAATAACTCCTTACACTCACATTGGAATCAGTGTGGAAATCAAATAGAAGATTGGCATAATTTTGGGGTCATCGTTCTGGACATTTTAGTTTGATAACGAGCACTAAATTTGAAACTTATTTCTATGATTCAAGCCACAGCCCCTGAATAATTGTATGTTGAGATTCTGAGATTGAGATTCAAAGCTTTTTATTTAGCGTCTTATATTTGAAAAGATAGAGTGTATGGTTAATAATCTCCATTGTCTATTAACCCTTATGTTCGTAATTAAGGTTATCCCAACAAACATTGGAAACGGAATAAGAGCTTATTCAGGCAAAAATTTGCTTCTTCAGCTGAAAAAATGGCTCTACAGCCTTTAATCAGCTCAAATTGTTTGTTGGATGTTTTTATCACATCGTGTTATTTAAATGTGATCTATGTAAACAGGAACCCCTTCACACATATATTTCGGTTAAATATCACTACTTTAGTATTTTTGTTTTCTTTCTTAAAATTCTGAACTGTCCTAGATTTTCGGAAACTTTTGCAACATGGCATCCGACAGAAACAAATCCATATGCTAAACTTGTTGATTCACAGTTCCACTATAAGTAGTAACTAGTACATCCAACCGGGAAATGCGAGATTCTATTAAAGATTTATATGAAAAGTGTGCAGAATTTGAAATGTGTCGCGACATGCACAGATTCTGTAATGTGGTCACCGGAAGATATTTTAAATAATTAGCTACAAATTTCAGGAAACTCAAGCAATTCTGACTATCCGAATCCGAATCCGAATCCAAATTTCAAATGCGGATCTGATATCCCATTTGCATGAAAACAAATTCTAAAAATATTCAAAGTATTGCCAACTAATGTCGATAGAGCTCTCAAAATGTAATTTCCTTCGACGAGCTTAAAGGGTAGCCATAATTCAAAAAGTGCACTAAGAACGATTCTTTTTTGTGCAAAAGTTAACACGTTACAAACAGCTAAACTTATAGTTGATCATAAAAACAGTGGATAGTATCACCTGGATACAACTCAACCCCATCACAACCATCAACAAAACCAACAAATCATAATACCATTAACATATCACTAAACCTTAGGTGGCTCACTAAACTAAAAGCTCGCGTACCTCCAGCGACGAGCACTGCCGCAATTAGCAGTAATGATCTCATTGTTTCCCTCCTGCGCTGCACTCCTCCTCGCTGGCCCGTCTAATTTGTCACTCTTCTAATGAGACTCCAGTTGTTCTCGATCTATCAAATTAACACACTCGGCTTATTGTTTGTATCAACTCGATAGAATCAACCACCGCCGGAAACACCTTAAGCTTCCTTATTCTTCCGTTCAGATTCCAACTATGTTCTCACGTATCGGCACTGTTAATCACTTCCAGTCAGTGTGTTCTCGTCGATTTTGTCGTGTCGTCTGCTCCGTCGATCTTCACTTTCGCACTACAACCGTCAAACTGATCCGCCGATCGGGTGCGAGCAATCATTTAAATACTTTATCAGCAAAGCGAATGCCTGCGGGCAGTGGAAACGAAAACCCGAAAACAGAATGTACATTCGAACATAGAGCAGGCAGCAACGCATTAGTATTCCGGGTGAGCGAGCAAAATACTCCAAGATGAATGGAGTATGAAAAGATCGGACGGACGAACCGCGAAAAATCACCGCCATCCACCCAAAGATAGAGAGAGTGAGGATGAAGAGGATCGCGCAAAAATGGAAAAACATTGCGCGACTTTGACCAAGATGGTAAGTCCATTATCGGTGCGCTAACGATTGGCTTATCGGAACAACGAACGGATGGAGCATTGCTTTTTTTCTGGTATTCTATTCCAAGAATTCATGCGGCTCATGATTCGAACTGTGAAGATTGAATTTCAATTTAAATGCTGCCATGGAGACGCTCGGTACTTGGAGTATTACCTGCATAAGAAAGGACTCACAGATCTGTTCGATGATGATATCTCGATTTTTTGGACAAGTCAAATCTCCTGAATCCTATATAAAGCCAGGGAATGCAACCAGGAAATACAAGTTTTTTCAAAGGCTGATTTTTTCATCTGCGATTAAATCTGAAGTGTGGTTTAAACACATGGTTTAACCAGGTTAAAAGCTTAAGCGCAGAAATCGGTCCTTACTCTTAAGTTTGGGGTATTAAGGGTTACATACAAATGTGTTTTGTTCATATCTCTGCTATTTTACGTACAATTTTTTTCTTTATATGACATTTGAAAGTTAATTACTGAAACTTACTTCGTAGGTTTCACGGTAAATATATTTTTTGCATACTAAAGCATCACCTAAAGCTACCACATTTTTCAAAATTCACACTGAATAACCATGACAGGTCAGAATTGGATCGACCAAATTTTGAAAAGAAAGGGGAAGTAGAACCCTTATTCTATACCCATCGAGCAACATTTGTGAAAATTTGGTGGATAAATTTAGAATATAATTTAAATCAATTAAATAGTTATCCAAGTCATCGATCATACGATTGGGGTCACCACACATTAATGGTGTGTCACAAATGTATGTTTAGATGAAATTCTAGATTAAAAATATGAAAACATACCAATATAATATATTAAAAATATGGAGAGCAACATACCAACGAAATAGGTTCCATTGATTGCCTTGGCAATGAAGTTATCCAGTACCATACCATCCAGCATGTACTAAATTCTAGTACAGGAAGCCATCCAGTACCATACCATGCAGTACGCATCATAAATCAACTATTGCATACTTCACGGCGTAAATCGAGCTAAATAATCATGCAAATGCAATCACACGGTACACGGATAGAAATCTCCTTATACCTTTTGGCAAATTTCTATTACTGATTATCCATAAAATGTATAAGTCAACTAATAAGCAGACACCTTGCAAAAAGTTAATGAATCATGTTAATAATCATGTGTCAAATGAAATGTATAAGCGGTCACACATACCTTTAATGCATTCTTATAGGACCTATGTGGTTTGTCTTATGGAATGTATAAGGCTGATGTTTTGACAAAAATGTATAAGTGAAACACATGAATAAAGTAATTGATTTCTATAGACTTTCAAATCATCAGCATATAAAGTATAACGTGATGATACGTTTGGTAATGATCAGTAATGAGAATTTGTAATATAGGGGAAATTTGAATTAGCGACCAAAAATTGATATTTCTCGCTAGAAGTTATTTGAAGTCCTCTGTTGCCTGTTTTCGGAAGGGAATCTTTCGAAAAGTGAGATGCGAGTTCCACTGTTCTTCTCTTGACGTGACTCACAGACTCTAACGTAACTTTTGAATAGTCTAAAAATTAAAGCAATATTTTCGCGGAAACTCCACTGTCCAAACTTGCTGCTAATGTAAAAACATATAAATTGAAAGGAACAAACGTGTAACTCTAAATAATATATTATGGAAGCTTACATGATGCACATGATCATCATGTAAGTTTACATGAAATCATCATGTAAGTTGAAAAAAATGACAAGCTTGTAAGTGTACATGTTTAAAGCAAAGCCATACCAAAAGGTGTAAAATTTCTAGTACAATTTCATTGCATGCTCCATTTATCATTTGTATGAGATTACCACCCCTATTCTGTTTTTCGTTCGAAACGAAATTCCTATACAAAAAAATATTTTTTTTGTATGAGAATTTCGTTTGAAACGAAATACAGAATAGGAGTGTACGTTACATATAATTTTAATTATATTTAGTGATATCTATGTATCTGGTAAATTATGTGTAATGTTGAGTTTTTTTTCCGTGAAAATCTTATTAAAATAATACTCGACTGAAGAAAAACATCGCATTTTACCGAATATACATTAACTCAGGTACAGTTTCACTTAGAAGCTAGGTAAACTTAACTTTGGCAGGTACTTCGCGGAGTACCTGGTCCTACAGGAAATTAAATTTAAGTTTACCTAGTTTCTAAGTGAAAATTCAAATATATCCGGCTGTAATGAAGCTATATAAATTATTTTAGCTCCAAATTAATGGTGAGAAAATTTGCTGCTCCATTTGTCATTGAGATTAGTGGTATGGTTGTTAATTAATTGTTTGTTGATTTGTTTTTTTTTTTGTATGTATCCAAGAAATTATGGGTTTCATATACGATTTTTAGGGGGCAGTGGGCTTTGAGAAAAGTTCAAAACCGTAGAAAATGGCTTGCTCTTCGGCGTAATGGCCTTCGGTAAAATGACCCATTCCACGAAATGACCTATTCCACGAAATGACCCATTCCACGAAATACCTATTCCACGAAATGACCCATTCCACGAAATGACCCTCGGTGAAACGTCCTAAGGGGAAATGTCCCGCTCCCGTTTTTAAGCAACAACAATTTAAAGAAAAAATAAACAAACTATTAGTTAACATCAACACCACCAATTCCACTGACAAATTTTGTTCAGCTGACTGAAAGAATTTTCTCACCTTTAATTTGGCGTTAAAATAATTGATATAGCTCCCTCCCGTTGGCTAGTTTTTGCACCTTGCTGTTGGAGGGCGGGCTTAATTTCATGCTTTATAGAGGAGTGTTGGAGACGGTAGGTTTATGGTCGGCGTTGCTGGCTCATGCCGCGATATAATGGCGCCATGGGCAGGCAATGGGGATTACTAAGCTTCCCCTCTCTGATAAACCACTGCATGAGTGAATCAAAGATCTAGTCTGGCAGTGATAGTATCACACTTGTTACTCCTTTAATTGAGAGCCGCGTCGTAGTACGCTTACGTATAGGCACTGACGTTGGGTGTGATACTGGCGGGTTTTGCCGCGAATCACTCTTATTATATTTATTTTACGGAATTATACTATTGAAATGTTTCAGAAAGTGCCCAACGGTGCTCCTTCTATTTGCGTGACATGCTTGCATTGTTGTTTTCATTGAAGTATTACTCAGGAAACAATGTTAAACATCATTGTTGTACATGGTATTGTAACTAATCTTATATGTGCTTCATTTTGATTTGTAATAAGTGTTTGAACTAGGGCTAGGGATTTCCACTATGGCGTGCTTCTATTGTGACATACCCATACGTATTTTTGTGTTGCGACATAGTGGAAGCGTGTGAACATAGTTGGAGCATATACCCTATATAATTCAAAAATCAGCTAGGAAACTAACTTCAAAATGAAGCATTTTAGTAACATGAAGGTGTTACCTGGGTCGAACTAAGATATAATAAATAGGTATAGGCTTAAATCAAAAGAACTTGAAACACGTTTAATTTTAGATTACAAGCACAAGTGCAGGTACTTAATAAAGCATGGGTTATGATTGATTAGGTGAATTAGAGCTTTTAATAATTTATTAAATTAGACTAATGAGATATCATAATCATCAAATGAACTTAAATAAGAAACTTCAGAAAGTCTAATGACATTAAATAGATTAACAAAAGAATTAGGATGCGAGGGGTCCGCTTAGAGAGGCAACTAACCTTTAAATTTGTAGAATAAATCTTCTTATTTAGTGTTGAACTTTAAAAAGAAAACGCAGGCAGCAAGCAGATTAACAAGGAGAGGAATACTAAAGGAAATAAGTAAAAGTAGAGGTATGTAACAATTAATAGCTTTTAAACATTTGGAGGTATTGTATTCCCCTGAGTTTGTTGTACTCGATTACTATATTATTCTCTCAATACGCGAAATCTCATATAGGGGAAATGTAGGTAATTTCGGCCTACATGTCCCTAATTTGGGCCCATCGCTAAAAGTCTGCTATTTATCAATTTTATCTAGATGAACGCGTTATTGGGACGTTACTAATGGATATTTATGGTTGCTATTGAAAATTTAGTTGATTGCAGAATTTATGTATGGGCCCAAATTAGGGACACTTAGGCCGACATTACCTGCATTTCCCCTATATATATATACGGTTAAAGCATTTGAGTTAACTTATTTCTTAGTGTTCAAGTACTTACATTTTTAAACAGCAGTCAATGTTAATCTATGAACTAAACCCTACGTAAAATCGATCTTTCCTTATGTGGTATTGATGCATGTTTAACTTTTCGCGGCAGTCGGAATCAGCGCGCCTACGTCTACGGAGCTTACGCAGAAGTGATTCGCAATGCGGTAGAGCTCACCAAAAGTTTTTTTTTTAGTTTATGTAGTATAGAATTAGTTTGGTACGGTCGCGAAATCTTGAAATGATTGATACGTGCGGTAAAATAACTAAATTGAAACAAAGCTCAACAGTAAAATAAGTAGAATATTTAGGGAGGAAACCAAAATTAATCAACTTGCCAACATAGGCTATCACATTTATTTTGGTGGCACTCTTTAAATGATAATAAGCCTTTTTTCTCGCTTCGGTTGTCTCGCACGGCTTTCGGAATTCACGCGGTTTTCGTAACTTACATAATTTAGATATTTCGTTCGAAACGGATTTACTTATTCAATCGGTTTACTACGCGGATGTATTTACGCGCACACGTCACAGCATTTTTTC